CTATCTATTGGTCTCGTGCCAGCCGCTGAAAACCCTCAAGGTTTCGCGTTTAGGCTTTCGTGCTTTCTCCGCCTCTGGGTCGGCGGACTGAGCCGGAGGCTCTTAAGTTCAGGGGTTTAGGGTTAAGGGTTTATAGGGTCATACCCCCATAATGGATACCTCATTTCTTGGACAGTCTCGCGCAGATTGCTTGGAAGATGTAAGAAGTTTTGCCAAAGTCAAGGCACTGCTGGGATGGGGTCCCTAAATACAAACTCCCATAGAGCTTAACGGTACCGGAGAGAGTTTATACGTCAACTTACAGGATAGCGCATCCTATATGCCCTAGTCAATCAACCTTTCAAGGTAAAATGGACATGGGTTTCTTCTTACTGAAGCTTACTAGGGCATACGGGAATTATATGCTGATCATGTCGGGATAATCTTTCCGGCTTCCCGACTAACCTTCAGTAAGAAAATGGACGTGGGCTTCTGGCGGGAAAGCTGATTCTTGATGACCATGAGTCATGAGAAAACTGCTTGTGTCACAGGTAGCCTAATGCCTGCTCTTAGTAATCACCTGACGCAGTGCTGTTTGCCAGTAAACCTTCAACGTCAAGTCTCTGAAGCCCTCTCAATTGGGAGTTTCTTAAGCGGCCCTTGGAGACCCAAGGAAGGGGCAGATGAGGATGACAAGGGGACTATGGGGGGCCTGTACCAGGAATCTTGTGGGGGCTGTTGGGAGAAATTCCTGCAACTTGCAGGATAATCTGCATACAACCTGCAACGAACACATATAAGCTGTGTCACTGGTGTGAAAGGCATTTCTTGACTTTACTGGCCCAGTGAGGCGATTCGCTGCGGAGACTACCTACTCAACTAATCCCCGGGTTTAGGGTTTAGGGTTCCTATCCTTAAAGTCCTCCAATGCCAAAACGTTCAGTACTCCATTGTGGTATACGCATGTACCCGGTTAGAAGGGTAATCCCCACCCCCCTTGTATTCAATATTCCCATCGCGGTGTGCTAGAGCATGCAAGAAGTTTCCATGATTTCGAGGGTCTGGGGTCTTGATATTAGAAGGATGGGATTACTGAGAAACATCAAAGGTTGAAAGTATAGAGCCCGGCATGCCAAAGGATGCGGGGCTTATTAAACCTAAACGCCTGCACAGCAGCAAGCAATATTCCCACCCAAATTCGACACAACAATTTCGGAATCTCTCATGTCAGCCAAGGTTCTTCAATAGCAGCTTGACTCCTTGATGCCTGGGCAAGCTGTTGTTCTCGAAGAGATTTGCAAGCTGGGTTCCTAATGTGATAGTTCTGGTCTTTGCAGATGTCCTCTCAAACGCTAGTGCTATCTGTCATAGTAAACTAAAAATACCTCCATGGGTGAGCCTACCAAGTTGAGGCCCAAGGCATGGTAGTAAAGGGCGTGAAGAATTGCAGCCGTAACAACAGAGGGGTTGGAACCAAACATAGGTGTACTAGCATTTCTAATTTAAGCTGCGACATCACCTACAACCCTAAACCTCATGGTGGCAGATGGGGCTGGGTCGCTGAACCAAGAGAGGAAAGAGTAATCATACAGGCTATTTCCCCAGGCTGGGGAGTCGTCCAGTATCTTTTCAGCGATTTCTGGATAATGCAGACGCCTGATCCACAACCTCGCCCTTGCAGCACCAAACTATTGGGATCCCTAGTAGAGCGTCCAAGAAGGGACAAGGGCTTTTCCGTCAGGAGCCTAGGCAACATTGTCCCGAACTTAGCGTACCTACAGGTACCCCAGAAACAATTCCAGGACCCAAGCAGAGTCTCAGGCTTTAGGGAAACTCCGTAAACTCTGTAATTTAGGATCAGCATCAACACGCAGTCCCTAAGCAATCTCATAACAAGACTCCTCGGACCGCCACTACCCTTTCGGGTACTCCAGTGTACAGGTCCTTCTATACAGTCTTGAGAAAGCCCCTACCGTGTTAACTCCCAGAAGCCCACGGTATTCCACAAGGGCAATTGAAGTAACCCACCTTTTTAGGACACACAGTAAGCCACTTTCTGAAAATCTGGAAACCCCTGCTGCGGCCTTAATTAGATAGAATATATTGTAATATACCCAAAGCCATATTCTATCTACTGAGGGAGAACTATAAGCTCTCAACAGCCAAGCAGCGATGTGCTGGCGGCTGCATGAAGCGGGGTGGCGCCATCCTGTGGCAGGTTTCTGGCTTTCAAAAGTTGTGGTATTTACTGGCGTTTGATCGGGAATAAGTGAATAGAATCCCTCTACAACCCATCTGGCACATATTCCCTTATTCCCTACTAACCCCCAGTAAGGTTATATGGTAGTTTCCCAAAGTAAGGGGGACCCCAATATAGACCCAAAAATACTATAGTCCTTGTTGTGGGGACCCCCCAAAAAGGGATCCCTAATTTTGGGAAACTGCATATAGAGCGGCTTTAGATGCAAGGTCTGGGGTTTCAGGAGTGGAGTTCAGGCTGGCCGTGTATAAAGCCACCTTTCACACTCACCTGTTCAGGACCCTTTAGGGCTTAGGGCTTAGGGTTTAGGGCTTAGGGTTTAGGGTTTAGGATTTAGGTTTTTTTTTTAACACCGAGGACTTTAAGGGTTTATGGTTTAGGGTTTAGGGCTTAGGGTTTAGGGTTAATATTCCAAGCCCCAAGCCACAAGCTGTAACCCCTCAAACTCAAAAATGACCGGTCTTTGAGCCACTAAGCCTACGGTTCTTAACGACCGTCAGACGCTACCGTGCTACAAACTGTTATGCCTCCAAACCCTCAAAGCCCAAATCTCCAGAAGCCTTCTCGCGCCAGTGGACGTCTGCGTTCGCCACCAAGAGGTCTCCCTCAGAAAGCCATAGGGCTTCAGTTTCCGGCTTTAGTGCTTTGGTTTTGCCATGGGAATCCTGCACAGGCCCGTCAGCCTCGACACTCTAAGACTTCAAGGAAGACTGGGAAGCATGTAAACCCACCCATGTATCTATTCCACTAGGGATTCTCACGGTAGGGATGTTAACCCTAGGGATCCAAGTATCCAATACCTACATTGGGCCCTAAAGTCTGTAAATATTATCTACATTGGGCTATTTGGATTTGTAGGGTAAGTAGATGCCCACAGTGGAGGCCCTTCCAGGGTTCCAAAGGCTTGCAACTCCAGCCGCTATTCGCGCGATATCGCCGCAAGCGCAGGCGTAAAACAGCCTTGAGGCCGGGTTCAGGGTGTGCTTCGAGGTCCATGTGTACTAGCGCATAGCGCATTTAATCTAAGACGAGTCATAAGCCAATTACAGAATTTTTTGCGGCAATTAGGAATTGATAATAGTTGAGTTATAAGTCATAAGTGCAATTCAAGATGGGCTATTACTACCAGTGGATCTCCGAGTGGGGGCTCAGGCTACGTTCAGCTTTTGCTAAAAAATAGTTCAGGACAACTACACTCCCCAGCGGCTGTCTCTGAGGTTCACATTCTTTTGGGCGACATACGGGGTCATACCCATGCAAGGACTGGGAATAGTTGCAAAAACTTCGGGCTTGAGACATCCGCCACAAACACGGCCCCTAGGCACGAAGACCTCCCCAGGCAACCATGACTTCTAGAACTTGCGCAGCGGCTCAGAACGACAGAAACATGAAGCCTACACCCTAAATACTGAAGCAAGAGCCCTCAACGCTAGACCTCGCACCTCAGACTCTGAACTCTAAACCCTAAACCCTGAACTCTACATCCTAAAGCCTGCATCCCAAACCCTAAAACCCGTGGTCCCCCTTAAATAGATAGGGATCTCATTGTCATGGCAGCTCCATATTCTATCCGCTTAAGAGGGACTGCAAACCCTACGCCCTAAACCCTAAGCCTTAAACCGAAACCCTAAACTCTAAGTCGTAACCTCTACACCCCAAAACCTGAACAAAGGCCAGTAGCCGAGTCCCCTGGCTGTTCTCTGTCGCCTGGGCAGCCGGCCCCTGGTTTCAAGAGACCACAAAGCCAGAGGAGCTAACACACCTTAATCACAATTTGTTAGGGGAAGTGTCAACCCTAAACCCTAAACCCTGAACCCTGAACCCTAAACCCTAAGTAGGATTTGCTCAGGAATTTCTACAGATCATCTGTATAGAATGGCGAAAACGGACCCCCATAATCACCTCAAGCTCCTAGACCATGCCGGGGGTCCCCACGACCCACGCATGTTCATAAAATCCCATATCAGGATGTACAATGATAAGGATTATATAGGGGTTATAATGGGTTTATATAGGGGTTATCATGGGTTTATATAGGGGTTATAATGGGTATAATGGGTATGACATGACTCAGAGCGTAGGGGCATGCTTACTCGGAAAATCGAGAACAAATTGAAAAACATCAGGAACAGTGAAATGGAAACTGGATTGCATGATACAGGGGGTGACATGCAATAGAGCGCCTGAACTAGCGACAAATGCCAGGATCCCTTTGATTGCCCATTTTACCCAAAGAGCTATTTAGGTTTGGGGCACATGGCCTTGAGGTGTCGAAGCTGTCGGAAAGTCCAGGGGTTAGAAAGGAGGGAATGTGGTCCATAATTATGCTCTACGCTCACCGTTTTCCTACCACGTTGGGTGAAAGTAGCACAGTAGCGCTTCGGGCTTTGGTATCTACAGTTTGCAGGGCAA